TAGCTGCTCTTTTCATCACCGAGCAGTGCAGTATCCATTCATGCYGAAATATCAATGGTAAAGTACAGCAGCCAATTGCCCCTTTATGATCCTTGTCATTGTGGAAACTCTTCTGCTCAAAATTAAATGCCAAAGAATTGAATAAAAATGAAAAAGCTGAGTCCTTTTACACATACACACATGCACACGCAGAGACCCACACTGCTCCCTCTGCCCCTCAGCATGCAGAAGCATCAGCCCTTTGCTGTTAGTGCAAGAAGTTATTAATGTGGTAACAGCGACTAGTAAATGCTGAGGAGCAGGTAGGAGAGGGCAGCGCTGACCTGCCCTTGGCAGCAGGTGAGTGACGTGGTTGCTGTTCAGGCTGTTTTTCCCCAGCTCTGAACTCCAGCGGTTCCTTTTGGGAATGATTGCAGCCTCTCTGCCTGCTCCGTTGCATTACTCAAAGTGTCACCATGCTGTTTGCCCATCCATAAATCAGAAACACGTGTTCTCAGCTAAGACAGGAGAAATACAGACAGATGCAGGCGGTGTCCACCTCTGTCCCAGCTGCACTGGTGGTGTGTGCTCAGGGAGCTGTGGTGGTATGAGGCAGGCAGCACATTTCATTCTGTAACCACCGTAGTCTCTTCTCTGGCAATGACATAATTGTTACTTGGTAGTTGTGCTCCGCTGGCTTTGGTTTCTGAGCTGTGGGACTCATTTCCCATTGCAGATTCCCCGGTTGTGCTGCTCTGTCCTCCCCAGCCATTGCCAGCCTGTTGCCTGCTACAGTTTTTGCRCTTTGTGGGGAAGCAGTCATGTAGGACTGCAGCTTTGCTCGATGGTAAATCTGCAGGAAGCTTCAGGAGACTCCTCCTGCTGCTGCTTTTAGGAGAGCCTGGCAGACTGGTTACATACACAGAATGGTCTATATAGCATGCTGAAATATTGCCCATATATTCCCATAGATGGGAACTTCAGACATCTCCAGGTGTGATTCTGCTTTTAGGTCTGCTCTAAAGCCACACCTTTATTACGATACCTCCAGTCAATGGTGCTGTCTTGAAGGATGAACCAGCTCCCAGAGTTGTAAGAGAAACCAGCCACCACCCACAAAAGGACCAAGGGTCTCCACTATCATTTTCAGAACACAAATTCTTCATACAGACCTTTCACTAGTCTCTTGCTCTTTCATCAGTAATGTCTCCTCATCTGTTGTAGGTAGGCAAGCATACCTGAGGAAAATCCACAGTTCCCAGGATAAGTCTAACTCCATACGGTGGTGACTAGGGTGGACTATTGCCATAGACAGAAAAGGTAATTTAGGTCATTAAGACCTTGAAGTCCTTGAGAGGAGTGAGATTTAGGGTCAAGTTACAGTGCACGGTAAAGCTGGGTCTAAATATTCATATGTCTCTTGGAAACTGTAGCGAACTTTGTACAATCAAGACAAAAAGTGAGTTAATCAGTGTTTGGTATAGGTGCTTCATGGATGTGTGGAAGTGGTTCATCAAAGACTTGTCTGAGGTTGCAGTGGATAATATCTATCTAATGTTTTAAGTCTCTGTTTAATTTCATTTTAAAAGTGTATTTTTAAAAATAAAGCCCCCATTTTACTTGGGCTGACTATTGTTTCAGGGGCTCTGTGCGCTGCCTGTTGTGCTTCCTATGTTTTGGTGCTTACAAGTCCTTAGGCACTTGCTTTGCAAGCAATGTGGTTAGATCGGGCAGAAACAATGTTTGGTGGTGTGATCTTGGTGTTCTTTTGTGGATTTAACTGTTATCCTCAATAACAGCTATGTTGTCCTTGTTTTCCTTGAAAACTTGCACTCCATGCAGAAAGATTCAGGATCTGGTTGAATGTGAGATTTCTTGTATTACTGGTTTGTATTCCAAGTTTCAGATGAATCATTCAGTCCACTACTCTTCAAAGACAGATATCTTGTAAAAGATACAGGCTTAACAAGTTGGGCCGTGGAGTGTGGTATAAATGAATGCCTTATTCCAGGTACAGTTTGGATAAACAAGCAGAGTTGGCACACGGTGTGGTGGCTGCCAAGTTCAAATCTGTATAAATCTGTGCAAATCTAACATAAAACAAATCACACTGTGAATGTAACAATTGATCTCAAGGATCTTGACAGATCTGCTTCTGCTTTGCATTGCAGCTAGAAGGTGCTATGGTGGACAGTGATAATCTCTATCCTTGGTACCTTTCTAGGTCTTAAGCTTTAGCCAGGAGCGGATTTACGCTAATTCACTTTTTTGGGGAGCACTGCTGGAAAAGGCATTGGAAACATTTGTGAAGTTAATAAAATTTGCTGCCCAGCAGATTTAAAATACGGTTTGACCCTTCAAAGGCAGGTGCTCACAGAAGACCCCTTTAATGAAGTGTAACGAATTCAAAAAAAAAGTCAAACTCTAGGAAAAAAGCAAGTAATGAGACACAGCAGAAGCCTTTTCCTCCTCTTGCCAGGTGATAGAAAATGAGCAGCTCTTTAAACGCAGACTGTGGCCTCACTCTTCCCTCTGTTAAACCAGTGGCTGTTGTATCTGCTGGTGTCAAAGGTAGAGAACCAACGTATCGAAGAGGAGAATTGGGATCCTTCAACTCTCACTCTGGCAGGAACATGTATGGAGGTATCATGCAGTGGTGTCAATGAGAACAAAGGTTATAAACCTTGCACATAATGTTGTTTGGATAAATTCGGACTTGTGACTTCTTCAACCGGGTTTTGACCCTGTGGGCTCTGCAGTASATGATTAGGATTTAAGAGTGCCAAATTCTAGGAAGAGTTTGCTTGGAAAATTGCTTAACAGATTGCAAATGGTGAAAAAAAATTGCACAAGGGAACTTTTCAAAAGGATCTTGAAACTCCAATTTTCAACAAATAAGAAAGATACAGAACCTAAGATTCATGAGAACTAAATAGAGCTGTTTTTGGAAGCCATGTGAAGAAATCAGGATTTTTCTTTTTTTTTTTTTTCTTTCTTTCATTTTTCCAAAGACATACTTATTTTTAAATACAATAACATATATGTATATATTKGTAATATATTTGTTTATACGTATATATTATATATAACAAAAATTATGTTTCACCATTATGCCAACACAGGGAAGATGTGGTTTATCGCTTCTAACTTCACCTGCAAATAATTGTTTCTTTAGACTCTCCAGTAGTTCATATTCTGGTGCCCTAGACTTCTTGCCTGCGTCTCATTGACACAGTTTTTCCCAGGACAGCAGACTCGGACTGCACATTTATAAAACCCCAATTTAAAGTGAATATAAGGAACTGATTTTGTCTTGGCCACTAAGCTACAAAGGACGGGGAGATGATGCATTTGATGCTTGTGAACTGGGCTAAGTCTATGGGGCATATTTTGACCRTGTGCTTGTCGATTCATAGAAAGATCAGCCTGCAGTGGTCACAGCTCTTAACACTTACTGTTTGTTGTTATAAAACTTGTCATTAAGCTGGGATATGAGCTGTAGACTTCTGGGAATGCTCCTCTGCGGATTTATTGGTATTGTTCTTCTTGTCCTCAGGTTCTCTGCTTTTTTTTTTTCTTTTTTTTTTCTTGCTTGCTTACTTGGTTCTCTCTATGTGTTTCTCTCCAAAGTATTGGCAGGAAGTAGTGCAGCACCAGAGGCAGATTATCAGAAGATCTATGATTCTGTGACACTTAAGGTCAAATCCAAAGYCCAGTGGATATCCTGATTAACTGAACGCTGAGCCCTGGCTTGAGGATCCTTGATAGACTCAAGGAGGAGGAGATGTGCTTGCAAGCCATACAGCAGTGCTTAGTAGCACAAGGGAATGCATTGCAGCCCCATGCAGGCTCACATTCCCAATGCCAAATTTCTCTGTGCTCCCCACCTTCCAGCTTCTTCTCCTGAAACTATGGGCTTGAGGTACCATAGGGGTAGCGCAGTGTCTTCCCACATCTGATACTGCTGTASAGCACAAACATCTTTCCTACTTATGTGTCTGGGTTAAATACAGTATTTGACACTACAGTTTCTAAGGTGAGCATGGTGAGCAACAGTGATGTTGCCMCTGCTTTATTTATTTATTTRTAAGCTCAGTCTATAGCTTCCTTTCAGCTTTATAAARGCATCCTTATGTCAAGTGTATCTCTGAGAAATAAGGACTAGTGGTGAAGAGGATCCTTAAGTCCTGAGCCCGTTGTATTTCTTTGAGGGGAAAAAAATGAGCAAACAATAGATCATCATGCTGGGTTCCAACAGTGACCTTCTCCCTTGGGCTAACTAGGAGCGTCCTTTGGGATGCTTGTGTCTCTCCTGGTATTTCTCATTTCCCTCTCCTGATCTGCTTTGATCAGACAGAGCTTGCTAAACGTAGAAGGAGCACACATCTTTGCCTGCCCTCAAAAGCAGGAGCTGGAGGCTCCCTGTCCCTCCTCAGAGGAAATGTTATTTGAACGTCTGCCCGTGGGATCACATTGGATAAATTTACTGTACCTCACTGTGCTTCTATCTGATATTTGTGCCTTCCCATCTGGGAAGACATAAAATACAAAAGTTAGGCATTATTATTTATTTGGGTATTACTGTTTCTTGGTCTCTTAGCTAAGGTWTTAGAAGTGAAAATTTGCACCGCTCGTTTTGCGGGATATGCTCTGCTCTCCTGTGTCTCTGTAAGGTGAGGCAGACCTCTTGGGCAGGCAGTATTTTTTGTCTAGGAGATGTGGGGTCCGGGGCCTCTTCACATCCCCAAAGCATTCCTCTCTCCAGAGGGGTTCCTTGGTCTTTCACAGAGAGAAAGAGAACCCCTTGGTCGGGTTTACCTTGGTCGTAAAGCTACTTGCCTTGTCCATGTGGTTTGCTTTAGATGTTTTACAGTTTTTACAGGTCATTTCTAATTGCAATTTTTCTGGATTACCAAACATGCATTCGCTATCGTTAGTGATTTCTTCTCATGCTATTTATTTCATGTTCAGGGAGTAGCAACCAGCTTGCCRAATAATGAGCTACCTTTTTTGTGTTTCAGAAACATACCCCTCGCAATCTGCATTTCAATGATTATCGTCACGGTGGGCTACGTGTTAACAAACGTGGCTTATTTCACTACAATCAGTGCCGGGGAACTGCTGCTTTCAAAAGCTGTAGCCGTGGTAAGTTACAGAAGAGAAATGCAAAGCGCTCTCTCTGCTGCAGTTTTGTTTGTCGCTGTGTTCTTCTTTTCTGGGGGGGAAAAATAATAAGAAGAAAAGGTCAGTGGGCCAAATCCAATCAGACTTTGGTATGGCTTCTCTTTTGCAGTAGCACCCAGGTGAGCTTAGCTGGTTCTTTACTCATGAATGGGGTTGCACTTAGGGCCRCTGATAGTATTTCTAATGTAATGCTAGCCCATCTTTACTTAAGATAACAAAGATAATGGGACTTAAATGCACAGCCAAGTTCACACTTGAAAACTTATCCCCTAAACTGTGGGCTGGCCTCTTGGGAAGCAGCCAGCAGAGCAGGACTGGGGGTGTGGGGAGTCTGTGCTTGCTTGTGTAGCAGGAAGCAGCGGAGTTGTCTCTGTGCCATGTGTGTCCTGGGTCACTAGCAAGGGAGCTTGCTCTGAGCCCTGAAGAGCTGCAAGGCAGCCTGGCTCGGAAGCGCTGCTTGGGTTGTTTTGCTTGACTTRTGGTGGTGGTGCTGATTTTTATATTCATGCCATCTGACTTGCAGTGAGGAAATGAATTTTTGCATGCACCTTCCAGTGGAGACATTGTTGCAGCTTTTCCAACTGATGTGGCATTTTAAAAAATGACCAAATTCTGTAGCCCCTGGGAGAAGCAAAGCATTTTGCAACCTCAGGAAAATTAAGCACATCTCCTGTGGTGCCCCAAGCCTAAATTGAGGCTCTGCAGTAACCTAGGAAGTGAAATGTGTGTGAATGGCAGATATTTTTGGATGGCACCAGCTAAGTAAATTGAAGGCTACAGGAAAAGGTACTAGGTATGCAGATCAGAACTTGACACCTTCAGGCCAAGCTTTAAGTCTCTTGGAAGCCATAATAATAGTATCTCAAAACAACCTGAATTAGGACTGATTCCAGCTCTGCAGCATTGCCACTGCTGGCAGACTGTCRTATGCAGCCAGGTGCTGGGTGAGCCCTGTCCACAGTCTCCGTGTCACAAAAGAGAGGCAGAGGTATCAAACACACAGCATAACTTTGAAGGAGGCATGGAGAAAGGGGTATGAGTAAATTTACAGTATTTGTTAATACATTAAAATTACTTTTGTGTTTTATAATGAAAAAATCACTGTATATTTCTCTCTCTCCGAACAGACATTTGCTGAGCGTTTAATGGGAAACTTTTCTYTAGCTGTTCCAGTATTTGTTGCTCTCTCCTGTTTTGGCTCTATGAATGGTGGCGTTTTTGCTGTCTCTAGGTGAGAAAATGCTAATATTGCTGGGGTTGAAAGGCATGGGATATACCTGGGGGGTAAGGAAGTCAGGGGGAGGGAAAAGAGGATTTGTCCCTCCATCAGGAAATGAAAATTGGCTGTAATGTTTCCCATCTGTGGGGATTTCTCCCCTTTGGTTCCTGCTGATTCTAACACCACATTACTGAAACCCTTTGAAAGGTTGGGAAATGGATCCCTTGGAGTTTAGCATTTAATGGCCCCTTTAGTTCAGACAAAGGAGGAAAATTGGAGGGAAAACATTAAGCCATTTGAAACACTGATAATGGCATGAGGGGGTCACGGTGACAGAGACATCTTTGATTTCAGGTGCAGGCTCCTCCTGTCACTCCCTTCCAAAGAGCTCGGACAAGCAGCAGCGCTGCTGTGCTCTGTGACTTTCATGAGCCGCTTTTCCCAGGCACAGTAACGAGCGCATTTCAAGTCTGCCCGCATTTCTTTCCCCCCAGGATGTTCTTCGTTGCCTCCCGCGAGGGTCACCTTCCGGAAATCCTCTCCATGATTCACGTCCGCAAGCACACTCCTCTGCCAGCTGTCATCGTTCTGGTAAATCATGCAGACAAACGGGCCCGCGCAAGAACTCACCTTGCAGCCGTGCTCCAGAGCGACCAGGCACAATCTGGGCACTGCTCGASCCTCATCTGTTAATGTAGAGCTGGCCTTTGGGCACGTCGGAGAATGGGAAAGGGAGGACTGGGATTCAGGAGCAGAATAGCTGCAGGATATGTGCTGGGCTGGCAGTCTTCATTTTAGCATTTTCTTGCTTTATTTCTCTTGCACAGGCCTAAGCTCTGTAAGAATAGAGAGTTCAGGAGAAGATGAGCTTATGCATCTTTTAAGCTTGGAAAAGAAATGTTTAAAAATCTTTAGGAATTCAGAAATTTGGATATATGCTGATATAGTTATACGAGCAACTCCAAGAAACCTTGCTATCCTGTTGTAATACCACTTGGTTTCTTTTCTCCTTCAATGTCCATGGCCCCTTGTTGCATTATCATGCTTATGACTGAATTTTAAAACYTTTAGCACCTGAGTCTATTGTAGAAGAAATCCTGCCCAATATGGGCTGTGGTAAAGTTTCTATCAACCTTTACAGGGAAGAGATTTGATTAATATCTGAGGGGAAAGAACTAAAAGTATGTCACTGGAGTTTGGAAGCTGTTCTCACTGCTAAAGAAAAAGAGGGGAAAGAAAAGGAAGGAGAGGAGTGATCAAGACTTTGACTTGAAATAACTAATACAAGTTAATTTTCATGACGTTAAAGATTTAGCCCTGCTTTCTACTATGTCCACAGTGGATTTTACTTGACTGCATTGTTATAAATGTAGTGAGGCTGTCAGCACTGGATCTTCCGTTCTCTGAGCACGAGGCTCTGGCGAAGGATACTCAGGATATGAGACACAGCATGTCTCATATGTCAAGTGTGGACTGCCCTTTATAGTTGATCCTGGCTTTAAATATTCACCTCTTGTCCACAGAATACTCCCAAATCTATCCAAAATCTATCCATGTAGCCTATAAAAGTCATGTAACTCAAGGTGCAACACTTGAGTTTATCCATAAGCTTTTGCCTGCTCACTACAATGCTTTGTGTATCTCAGAATACCTTTCTAATGAGGAGATGTGTTTATCCTAGTGTTGTCTCCCCTTTCTGCTCTTTGATAGCCTCCTGAGTGACAGCTAAATGCTCCCTCTGCTTGCAAAAGTTTTTCTTTCCTTTCTCTGCCAACACGAGACTGTGTCTGCGCCGTGGGCTCCATAAGCATCCTGGGGTATGGAGCTGACCTGACTGATGAGACCCTCTCTCCCTGGAGGACCTGGGTGGTTCTCTCCTCTTCCCCAAGACACGTGGCCACCTCAGATGCGTGTTAATCCTATACATGAAGCCTGGAGCCCTCAGGAAAGGCTGCCTTGCTTGTCCCCGTGGAAAGACCTGGGATCACTGCTGTAAAATACCAGAGGTCACGCCGCCGCAGCTCGCTGATGCTCTGAATTTCTTTTGCAGTACCCTCTCACAATGATCATGCTATTCAACGGGGATCTCTACAGCCTCCTGAATTTCCTCAGTTTTGCCAGGTGGCTTTTTATTGGACTAGCGGTTGCTGGGTTGATTTATCTCAGATATAAACGTCCTGATATGCCTCGTCCTTTCAAGGTAACCTCTGCTCTCGCCTGTTTTACATGAATCCTTCTGCCTTGTATCTATTGTGTAGCCAGACAGTAAAGGAGCCTTTTCTGATAAAACGTTAACCTCCTTTTCACAAAAAGCAGAATTAATAGAAAACAGTCCTTCACGCTGGAGAGTCTCCTTGTGCTTTCCTGCAAGATCACCAGGGTTATCCTGGCAGAGCTGTCTTCTGGAAGGAGACTTCACTCCGACTCCCTGGTGGCTCTGGGGAGCACTTGGGTGGCTGTGTGCAAGTGAAGATGTTTGCTCAGTTTTGCCTGCCTGTCATGCTGAGAGATGTGAGGCGAGCCGAGGGCTTTATGCTCTAGCAAGCCCCGTGAAAATGCCCCAAGTCCTAAATACTGGTGGGGGCTTCACCCTGCAAATATAAGGGTGACATGTGCTAACCTGATTTTCAGCCAGTCCTCAATTTAACATCTGCCCTGATTTAAAAACAAACAAACAAAAAAACAAAAAACCCCTCATTAATTTTGCCTCCAGTATTCACATCAGGCATAAGCATTAATATTAAACGTTTATCTTTCGCTTACATTCTCTGTCCAATATAGAATATTCCAATTTGATGTGCAAATAAGTTGCTAGCCCTTTCACTGTGATATTTGGGGCTCCCAGTTGATTTGCTGACACCCTTATTGTGACTCCAGAAAGGAAATGCTAATAGCCTGGCCAGCAGCACAATAGTCACGTTGGCCTTGATTCTGCCGCTGCTCTTGCTTATTGTGAGGAGCACCTTACAAAGTAAAGTGTCCYATTGTGTGTAGGAAAAGATAGTGTCCAACAGGAACAAAAGCAGAGGGATCTTTCCCTTTTTTGGGGAGCCATGGAGTGTATTTTACAGAGGATGGTGACTGTGCACTGCTGCATTCTTGTAGACATATCAGCGCAGAGGAGGGTGAATGGCACAACCCATTTTGCTTTGATTAAAAAAACCCTTTGACAGTGCACAAAGGAACAGTAATGCTTCAAGGCGTGAAAGGAAGGGAAAAATCTCCAAGGAATTTGCCAGTTCTCCATTACATCAAGCATCTCACAAGCCATGCTTGTAGGCATTTCCTTCACAGGGGTGCTAAGTTAGTGACTGCAGTGGTGTTCTTGAAAATGGCGAGAATTAATTTGATATTGCTGTTTTTTTTTGTATTTTGTACACTGACACTGATAATGCCATCAGTCATGCTGTCAGAAAGTGCTTTTTCAGTAGCTATCTGTTGCATAACACTATCAAATATCTTTATCACTTGTCAAATGGTGTTTAATTTGCTCTCCTCCTGCCAGATTTTGATTTTTACCTTAGGAAGAAAATCAATACGTTCTTAATAGTTTTAAAAGGTGACTTGAGCTCCTGGCTGTGTTTTAAAATGTTTTCTAATAGGTAATTACAAAAGAGGAAATCTTCACTGCAGTTAGTGCTTCTTACTTACCTACTGGAGGAGTAGAGAAAGGACTTTTGTAATATAACCTATTTTCAGCCCTTACATTTTAAAGGATGTAAAACAGTACAGTATAAAAGAGTGGGTGGTGCTTAATGCATAACCCACTGCTTAATTTTCTTTTGCAGTTGCTTGTATTTGGCAGGGATGATCTAGATRCTGCAGAACTCTCCTGTGATGCTGGATTTTATCCAATATATATTGCATGGAACATTAAATGCTGCTGTCATTCAATAACAAGGTCAATATAAAATAACGGTTGCGTGTGTGGTTATGTTTCAGGTACCTCTATTTATCCCGGCACTATTTTCTTTCACCTGTCTCTTCATGGTTGCACTGTCACTTTACTCTGATCCCGTCAATACGGGGATTGGATTTGCCATAACCCTGACTGGAGTCCCTGCCTACTACCTCTTCATCATATGGGACAAGAAGCCAAAGTGGTTCCGGAAGCTCTTGGGTAAGTGCCCTCCTCCTGGCCGGCTCTGGGAATCCTTCAGGGAATCGGGGCTATGGCAAGATGCCCTCCACCACGCTCCTCTGCTGCTCTGATCCAGGGGGAYGATGCATATCTCTCCTCAGGGAATGCCCTGGTGCTGCTCTGACACTACAGTCAGTGTCAGCTACTAGACAGAGGGGTTTGCAGCAGCCTCYGCCTTCAGCTAAGAGCCTGGCTGGTGTTTTTCCCAAGCTACAGGCACTTCAGACAACTGCTTATCCCTCCCTATTCCCTTCTTGCCTCCTGTCCCTGCAAGGCTGACTCCAGCTAAAGCAGTGACCTTCCTCTCCGGGGCCGTCTGCCTGTGCTAATAGAGGAGGTATTTCCCAACAGGGAAATGTATTGGAAACATAAATGTCACAGTTGCAGTGACAGGCCTGGCTCCATGCTCGCTTTGGGTCCGTGCATGTGTGGGCCACAGGGGGAATTTGGCAGGGGACAGGGGTGGTCAAGCTCAGCTGGGGGGTATCAGCATTAGTGACAGCTTCAGACGAGGGGGTGACAAAATCCACTGCAGCTGGCACACATCTGTGGAAGCTCTGGCTGTGTCTCATGTCAAAATGACTTCTGAGGGACTTAGCTATGGTATTTCACCCCTGAAATGCCCTGGGACTCATTCTGSTGCCATTTCTGGAAGTTTGGTAAAAGCGTTTGTGAAAGCGCTGATGTGTTGGGGAAGTTATACGAAGCATTTCAATTAGAAAGAAAAAAAATCAGTACCATTTATTACAGCCCCTTTTTCTCTTTCTTGTCACTCAATATGATGTGAATTTATCAAAATGGAGGCATTTTTCAAAACAGAAATGAAAACAGGCAAAATTTTAAAAATATTTAAGAAAGAGTGAATAATTTGTTAAAATAGAAAGAAAATCTTTGCTGCTGCAAGGTGAAACAAAATGAAAGCCAAAACCATGAGTTTTCAACAAAAAATTCTTTCCTTGTATAGCTGCTGAATTAAAAACACATGAATGGCCTTCACTGCTTTAGCATTGAGTAAAGGATGTTTTAAAATGCACTACCCACAATAAAATAAGAGTGTGCATATATATATATATAAATACCTTATTTTTATAGCATGTGTGTGAATATACATGAGATGCATTGTGTCATGCTGGAAAGTCCATAAATCATAGGACAGAAAATATTTACATAAATTATTTTAATCAGTTTATAGAGAGTAAAATCTGGCTTCCTTAATTTTAAATCCATTTGACTGTATACTATGTAGAATGGGTAGAAGGTTTCAGTGTAAATGATAATAGTTTTATGCAAAAAAGGCATTATATAAATAGCTTGTACTTGTTTGCTTTTAATTTCTCAGCCTTGATATTTAAGGTGTAGGGAATATCCTTTTATCAAACCCAATAGAGTTTTTTAGCACTTTCTGTGAAATCTCAGAGGTTTGGGAACAGTTACTTGAATCTGTGGCCACAGGATGCCAGTGTTGAACTGCATTCCTTGGCTGAGAGAAAAAAATATTCTTTTTAAGGTAGACTGGATGCCTGTGAAGGATTTTCTGCCAGATGTGACAGCGAAGCAAAATCTTCTAACTCTTTAGATAACACAAAATCCTTCTTCTAAAAAGAAGGCCAGATGCCTGTGAAATACATAGGGACACACTGTCCTGACTCTGAGGAGAAAGAGTCAACAGACACCAGTCAGTGAGTAAAACAACCTGTTTGCTTTGTAATTATTATTCTCCAAATAACAGCAGCAATGACAGAAATTTGAAGTTGAGAGTTTTGGGGTGGAGAAGCATGGTGATCCACTTGGTAAATAACAAAGCAATRGAGTCATGGAGTCATTATGTAAACAATAATAATAAAAAAAAAAAAAGGCAAAAGTTATGGCTGCTCCACTGCATAGCCTGAGAGCACTTTTCAAAAGCATTGAATCAGGATAAATTCATTTAAGGTGTCTCTGTGAGACGTGGGATGCAAAAGTCACTGGGCAACTGCAAGCTTGATATTCTAACCTTGGAAAAAAATAGGCAAGGCTTTAGATGAACTTAGGAAAGACACGGAGGTAAATGGGCAACACTATAAAATGTGACTGTAGTTTAGATTTTTGACTGATTAATTGTGTAACATTTTTGAGAAGACAACTGATTTTTCTTGACAAAGGATATGACAGATCTAATCTCCTCAGACTCRAACAAGGCCCTTTGTGTAATACTACCAAGGAAGTCAAAGCCTCTTAGCCTGAACACAGCATCATGCCAGCACAAAAAGTGTATTTTGACAGTCTTTCATGGCACAGGCATCGCCCGTTCTTCTTACCACATTAGTATGTTAAGGAAAAAACAACCTACTTGTTTGTGAGGTTGGTTGGGGCTGGTGATACCCTGCAGGGAGAAGGACTTGCTGTTCTCCTCCAGAGGAATTTTAGTTTGCAGAAATCATTTTCAGCTAGGACAAGCTTCATCTGACCATCGCAATTTTGCTTTTTGTGAAATTAATCTGAAAATGAAAAGAATGAAGTGTGGCAAATCCCACAGAAGCAGGTAGATCAACGCGTGCAAGATCATGCCACCRGCAGCAGAACTCTTGCTTCTGGACTTCCTTAGTTGAAAACCTAACCTTAGATTTGTATTTAGAAATCCTTTATTTCTTTTATAATGGGCAGTACTGGGAAGAATTAACGGTTGAGCGTTGGCTTCTTCCTAGCATGCATTGATACTAGAAAGCAGAATTTCTGTTTATATCACAAATTGCTGCTTTAAGAGTGGTTTACAAACACCACTTGCCCTTGCTCGCTCAGGATATAGCCCTGTCTATTCAGTTTGCTTCTCTTTTCCGAGCTGGTGACATTGGGCTCGGCCGGAATTCGCCTCAGCATTATGCTGCCCCAGCCTCACATATAACCAGTAACTTTCTGCTTTCTATTCTTCCCCGAGCTTTATTTGGTGATCATAGATAGCAGCTCATTCTTTTGCTGTTGTGTGTGTCTGTTTTTTTTTTTTTTTTTTTTTTTTATAAAGATTGCCCACTGGGCCTTATTTACAGTGAGTTTTCCTCTTGAAAAGGCAAAATGGGCTTTAAAATAGAAAGAAAAACAGCTTTTATGAGAGCGAGGAATGAGAAGCAGGTCCCGACACTGTCTTACTCTGTGCATACTGCAACCAAAACCAGAAACCCCAGCACAGAGCAGCCTCTCCGGCCTGCCTTGCTCTGCTGGGGCTTCGTGGTGGTGCTGAGGGAGGCTCTGTGGCTGCAGGAGAAGGGAGATGCTGCCCGCCCGCAGCCGCGGGCCGGACGCGCTCTCACAGCAGGTGCCTTGGTCCCCTCGGTCCAACAGGATATTAACACTCACAGCCACTCCTGGAGAAGCCTGTGCCTTGTGTGCCCATTTCCCAGCACCTTTACACCATCGCTCGGCTGGATAGAAGCTCCTTTATTCTCCTGCAGTTGCTCAACGTGGAGCCGGGAAGAGGTGGGAAGGCAGGGGCTGTTCCCGGCCGGCTTCCCGCTCTGCTCCCGGCTGCGCTCCCAGCCAGCAATCCCTGGCAGGGAGGAGGGTGATGCAGGWAAACACGGTCTCGTAGCCACAGGGCAGCCCAGCTGGCACGAAGCCGGCAGCTCCAGGGAGGAGAGCAGGAGGTGGCAAAACGCGTGCCAGGCGGGAGCGCGGGGAGGCGGATTCAGCCTGTGCKCTCTGTGAGCTGCTCGCCTCCTACCCCTCCTCGCTGCTTTAAATGGGTTATTAAAAATGAAAAAGAAATGTGGTAAGGAGTGGTGTTTTTTTTTTTTTCTCTCCTCTATTTATTAGGTAAGTGATCTCTGTCAGTACTCTAAACAAAAAGCCACCCAAAGGAAACAAATGTCCAAAACATCAAACAAATAGCATGAAATTGCTTCATGTGCACAACATCCTCAGACCTGTAAAGAGGCAATATAATCATTTCCCTCTGTTTGTTTTTTTTTTCTCTCTCTCTTTTTTCTTTTTTTTTTTCAGGCAGATTCTAGCAAGGCTGAATTTGGCACAGGTGAATTAACTTGTTTGAGCTCTTTCAGAGTGTTGTTACAGCATTTTACAGCTTTGCTAAAACTGAATTGCTGTGCAGAGTAATCATGCACTAAATTAGCCTTTGAAGACCTATATACTTTTACTGGACAATTTCATACCTATATATCCTTCTGCTATCACTGTATATGCACCTCTTTGGATGAGAGGCAAAGAAATCCTTGTTTAAAAGGGGAACTTCATGTGAGGCAGTGAAATGATCTGTGCACCAGGTGTATGAATTGGTATGAACAATATGTGCAAGTAGCATGTATAATTTTYCTGGTTGCTTTCCCTTCTTATTCACCAGCCCATGCCTTCACTCCTCTCTAAAAATCTCCTCTGTGCTTGCTTATGTCTTTGCAGAGAGAGTGACTGTAATCCTGCAAATCCTCTTGGAAGTCGTCCCACCAGAGGARGACCAGAAATCATGATCCTCATGTACCTGAAAATGCAGCTTTTGACTTGGTGTTTCATCTCAACCTGAGGAGGAGGGTAGGGAGTTTTCTTCCCATCCTGATATTCTGCAAACTGGAGGAACAAGTCACAGCTGAGATGGATACTGAATGACTCAGTTACCAGAGCTGTAGTTTATCATGTTGCAAAGCTTCTTAATGTGGTGGGTTTCTATGTAGAAAGCAAGAACAGAAGCAGCAAGAGAACACCTCTCTSTACTATTCCTTCTACTACACTGTCATATTTAACAAACGGTAGTTTAAGCCATGTTTAAGTAATAGGTGGGTATCCTGTGAAGACTGTATCCTGCTCGCTGTCCCTGAGGAACTGACCTCTCACCAGAGGAAGGGGGAGCCAAAGCTGCTGAGTTGCAGCCGTTCCCCCAACTTGCAGCCACATTTCACTTCTTGGGTCTCYCTGGGAGCACCAGCACATGGATGTGGAAACGCAGTGGTTCCCACCACCTTTGCAGTGGCGAGTCCAAGGTTATTTTGCTCCAGAGTTGTTAGAGCACAGCTTATAGGAGTATCTTCGAGAGCGAATATTGCTGCCAGTGGGCAGGTAGCTTCTAGCCCTGGGGCAGTAGTTTCATACCTTGTAAAGTTTCTACCGCTCTGAAAACTGTTACTGTTTTTACTGATGTTTCTTTGTGTATATATACATAGGAAATACAGCAGTTGCCTTCAAACAAAGCCTTTGAATGCAACCTCCACAGATGTATGAATATTTTTCTACCTGGCAACTTACGGACCTGCAGGTATCAGTCAGGCAAAACGGCTTTTAAAGTTTTATACAGTTGTTGTTAGGCAGAAATGAATAGTAGTCACTGGTTATATAATCAGTGGGAGTTCTGTGCAGACACGACAATAAATGCAATACTATTTTATGACTAAGGTGTAGGGCAAGCTGCAACAGGTTTGTTGATTTGCGTAGAACGTGTGCCTAATCTGTGGGCTTTTATTTGAGCACATTCCAATTAACTGGGCTTTTGAACACCACGAAAGAGGTGCTCTGCCAGCATCTTCTTCCTGGTTTTATCTCGGCTGAAACAGGGAGCAGCTAGCAAAACTGATAAAATCAAACGGAATTGAAGTTTCATCTTCAGAATAACGTGTAAACTGAGATTTTGCTGAAATACGAGTTGAATTTTTTGCTCTCTCTATTAAAAATAGCTGTGGCTAGAAGGCATTTTTAAGGCTTTTTAATGCTTAAAAATGCTATTTTATATTGTTAGTCAAAGACTACTCGACCTTAAGATTAAGGTTTTTTATCACTCTGTTAAATGTTTAATGCACTACTTCTAGAACTGTTTGCTATTAGTTAATATTATGTTTCATCAGAACTTTTATGAAATTAAGGCAGCAATGTTAGTCTTCCTAAGGAGAAGAGACTTTCCTTTCGAATGTTAGACTTCCCTTGGGAGAAAAGCACAACTAGTAGCCAGACCACTACAGTAAAGGGAGACTGCATATTGTATATGTATTGTATATATCCAGAACAACTCCTACCGTTTTAAGGGTTTACARTGAAATGTCTTAAAATTTATACATGTTTTTCCTACCTATATTTCTGTGGTGGAGYTTCATAGAAACAGGGAAAAGGAAGWTAATGATGTAGAAGAAAAGTAATATAAGACACGGAAAACATACTACGGAATATTTTTTTTCTATAAATGTTTTCTGTTTACAGTAACTTAAARTGTTACTTGAAACTCTACTGGGCAGGCGTTTTGAGGTGGGTTTTTGTGTTGGCAGCGTTAGTGTTGGTTGAGCCAGGAGCAGGTGTCCGTGGCCRTGTCCCGGCCATCCCCGTTGTGCACATTTCGGCTCAGGGCGTCATGCTTGGAGCGCCTTCCTCTCCGTTGGGAAGCCYGCTGGAACGTCCATGGATGTTCAGAGCGTCGCATCAGAGCTGGTCCAAGACAAAACCTGCGGCAACTCAACCTCCTTCAACACCAGCTCTTTAACTCCACGTATTCACTGCCAATGCGCCGCACTACTTGATAGTTTAGACACAGCCAGTGTTAACTTGTAGAAATAAATGGTCTCTGAGTTGAAGTAAATATTGCTTTTTTTTTTTTTAATTTCTCCCACTGTGGACTTTGAAGTTCAGAAACATTGCTAAATTCTCACTCAGTAACTTTCTTTTTAACCAAGTTTATTTTCAAGTATGGGATTAATCAGTCCTTTGAAAATCCTGACTAATGAATTGTGCAGAGTTGCATTAGAAAATATTTTACAAAATAAGAAACCAACTTTTGTACATGAACATGGATTCTAGATTTGGATTTAGCTCCATTAGCATGTACAGTCACGATACAGAAATATTTTAATGGGATTTCCACTGTGTTTTAAAAGGCAATGTTATGAACTTGAATGATACCTGGAAGCTATGCATATGCCAACAAAAGGAGGGGAGATGGGTAACAGAAAATTAAAAGAAAGCCTCGAGATATTTTTAAGGTTTGCTTTTTAAAAAGTATTTTCTTCAGATTCATAAAGGAAATTCTCTGGAATAAAGGCTAAGTTTTATATATATATATATATACGTGTGTGTGTGTATATATTTCTTATTAGGGCCTCAAGCAGCCATGGCAATGACACTACTTTTGAGAGAAATATAGCAAAAAAMCTCTCTCCATTTATTTCTTGCCTATCATGCCTTGTTACCAAATGGACTTTATCAAAATATGTATTTCTTTATGTAAAGGATGGAAAGTTGCTCTTTTCCATCTTCAGGCTTACTGATCTTTTGGGGTTTTGTATGGGCAGAAGGCAACTAAAGGCAACAGAAATGAAAATTTCATTTGAGTAGCAAACACTTCTGASGTGCAGTGCATCTCTTAGAGAAGCAGTTTGGTATTTGAAGCCCGGGAAGATGCTGACCTATCTTTGCACCTCTGGTTTTGGCCTGCGTGAGGCATAATTTTGTGTGAGGGGCGAGTTTTCATTCCTGATGCCCGCTGCCAGCTTTCCAGGGACACAAGGGCACCGTGCCCCAGGCGTCAGGTCTGTGGTGGTYGGTCTCCTGCAGCCCGGGTCTGCCTTGCCTGCTGAGGGATGCGGGAGCAGAGCTGGATGGTTTCCTCCTGCATTCCCCTGTCAGCAGCACATTCCTCGTCTGGATTTGGGGTTTTCACAGGTCATTGCTGCTGCTCCAGTGGATCTTCTTTATACACAGGAACCAAGGAGGGCAAAAGAGAATCTTATGTTTCAGAAGAGGTGCTCACGACATGATAACATATGAGTTATTTTGCATCCCACGTGAGATACTTCCAGATGCCTCCTGCAGAGCTTTCCACAGGTGTTGCACTCTCCTTTGCACTCAGGATGACCTGGATAAACACGGATATTTTTGGGGTGCAAGACAAAAGACACGAGGTTTGCTGAGCACTGAGGGTGCTGACCCCCAAGTGGCAACGCGCCGGCGCTCAGACAGCAGCGCAGCCGCTTGTCCATCACCTCCCAGACGGTGCCCGTCTGCACTTGAGTGTTTTAACTTAACCTCCATTGATCTGGGTCTGCCTTAAAATGCTGCGCTATAAATCACGCTGTTTAGGAGCTGGCTGCGGTGTGGGCGCATCGAAGAGCAGCACGGAGCGCCGAGCGGCAGCTGGGCAGCTGCCCCAAACACTGTCGTCCCGGTTTAAAACCCGGTGCCAAGTTACGAGGCTGGTGAGGCCCATGGAGGCCTTGGCGAGACTGCAGAGTTTGAAGGGAACACAAGCGATGCTGGTGTCTGTACAGCCAGATGGAGCACAGGTGAATTTASCCCCTCGTTCTCAGTGGCCAGTGCATATTTCTATATGCTGAAAACATTGGGGTGTATGTTTGTGTGTGAAACCTCTCGCTATATAAAAGACAGATTTTATACCTATTTTTATAAGCTTTCCAARTATCTAACATCTCTTAGGAATATATAAAAATGTGTGTGTATGTACACATGTATTGGTCTATACATGGATTCTATTTGCATTTTTATCAGAAAGCAGCTAAATACTCTCGAAAAGGCTTTTAACAACTTTTAAAACAACTTTTAGAAATTTTATGCCATATTTTTAAATATTTTGGTACTTTTTTTACATTTTACAGAAATTGTCAATTCTACGCTTGCTGGTTGCCTTTTAATAGTAACRCATAGTAACGAAAGCATTTAATCTGATTTGATATAAATATGCATCTGATTGACATAGTAAATTAAGGGCCCAATGGGCATAGGGAGAAACAAGCCTGAAAAAAATCAGCTGCCCCAGGGTGTGATACATCCCATGCAAAGACAGGTGGTTAAGGTAGGTGAGATGAACTGCTCCCTGGAATTGCTCCYGACTCTGCTCTTCCTAAAGAAGGAGCTGGAGTGACTAGGCAGATGCTTAACATTTTAGTAGCTAAGCTAGAGTGAGGGGAACCCTGTGGAGCTGCAATCAGAATTACTTTTTTTACATGCAAAATCTTATTCTTTTGGCTAGAACATGCTGCGTTTTTCCAATTTTCTAATTACAGTTAGAACAAAATAAACACTTTTTCTTGAAAAAAGTTCTTGTCGCTGACTACACACCTGCTGAAATTTCAGCATTTTATGCAAGTCTTTTTGGAGATAACTCCAATATTTCAGCAAGGAAGATGTAACCTTAGCTGTGTGTGCTTCTGCTTGTTGATGCTCAGAGGGAAATGAGTCTTCAATTTAGGCAAACTTTAAAAATGTTCTTCTGAAGGAAGATTTAAGTTGTTTATAGCAACAACACAGGTTGCTAATGTCTTGATGCAACAAGAAGATGAGACGTCGCGCTGCCCAGATAACAGATGCTCTCTGGCACTTTGCACTTTCATAACTAAAGGACATTTGTGCGTCACGAGGTTATATTTATAGCAGGTTTGTAAGTGTTATTTAAAATTCTACACTATGTTTCAAAAGGAACCCTCAATGCATTGATAGATGTCGAGGAAGAACTAAACACATATGGTTTCACCTAGCTTGTAATAGGCAGTATGTTAGGCCAGTGATTTGAGAGACTTTTTTTTTTTTTTTTTTTTGCTCTGAGTGATGGACTCTGCTCCTTCAAAGCTGTGTTAGGCCACATTTGATTCTGTTGTCTTTTGTCAAGGATCTGCTGCGCAGCAGGACTACAATAGACTCACCAACTTCTATCGACATTTTCTCTATTTCTTCTTTTTCTTTTTTACTCAAAGGAACTTTTGAAATATTTTTTTCCTTGAAGCACAGCGACTCAAAGTGCAGCATAAAGCCCAAGAAGGATAAATACTTCTCTCAACAAAGACTGAGTTTATCAAGATTTTTGGATTCTCTTTGATGTCCTTGTAACGGGAATGCCTACCATGTTCTGAGCTAAAACAAAGCTTTGATATTTTCTGAATATTGTATTGGTGGTGATCCAAATGCAGTTATAGAAGGACTGTGGCTAGGCCTGGTTTTATCTATTCATTGTGTTTTTATGTGTGTCTTGCTCACAGTGGCCCTTGCCCACTGCTAAGCTTTTTTGCAGGCCTTTTTTTCTGCTCCTAGGATTTCAGCTGTATCTCTGAAAGGAAAATACCATCCCTTCCATTTGGGTGGACCTCACCACGTACAGTTGGTGCATTGGAAGATAACGAGTGCCTGYGTAGAGACGCGACTTGCTGAGCCCACAGCTTGTGCTGGTAAGTGAGAGCTGCAGCTCTGCTTTCTAAAGAACAGCCACCTTTTGCAGTCATCGTTTACACTTGTACCKACAACACGGTAAAAGTTGTTACCTAAGAATTTTGGTGTGCTCTTTTTTTCCCCTCCGTGTTTATTATGAGAAGTTTAAATGTTACAGGACAGTTTCATAATTTTCCCCAAGCTATTGGCTTTGCCTCAAAAAAGCCATTTGATGCCGTTTTAGCTGCCAATAGCTATTCACCACTCAGTCATTAGAGTGTAATTGGATCTAAAGTACATGTATAATTTGCTACTAGCAATGCTGGCTTGCTTTAATTATGATATCCAGCTGATTTCTAAGGATACTAATCAATGAATATGCATGGCAGAGTAGA